TGTTTTATCAAAATCAGGGCCATGTTTGGGGAAAAAAGTCAGGGACACATAGATTGACACCTCCCCAAATATTGAATTTGTAGCTTTTAAAGTGTTCAATAGCAACATAAGGCTAATGACTATTGACTTGGACTGCATGGTTCAGACCATCCTACTTTAATAGTTTGTGGGGGAATTTTCACAGTCAACAATCAGGTTATGTCTACAGAGGAAGGAGCTCAGGGCTACAGACAAAAAGGCCTGGTGCAACCCTGACTCTCTCACTTATTTGCTCTGAAATCTCTAATTTTCAAATTATCTGTTAACTGCAGAGAGTGATAATATCTTCAAGGAGATTAACACTTAGATATGCTAAAATGTAATAACTGATAGGAAATAATTTTATGGTGAGGATTTATGATATACTATACACTGAAGGTACTTGATATTAGAAATATTGTAAAAAAACTATTGTCTTATAACAAATAAATTATACAAATCTTAACATATATATTAACGTATGTTCATGACAAAATAGAATACAGAAACCTTGATTTTCCAAGATAATTTTACCACGTGTTTATAACATTAAATAATATACAGTTTATTATGCATGGCTTAAATTTAATCAAAGTAGAATCATACTTTATGTATCATCTTACCACTGGATTTTTCTCTTAGTATATGTATGGCCTGTACTGATGTTGATGCATATAGCACTCTGATTCATTTTCACTACTATTTAGTATGCTGTTGTGTGAATGTAAATTTTAAAATTCTGTCTGTTGGAATATTCAGATGAAAGAATGATTTTCAGACAACATCCTGCCTTTAGCCTTCCAGATGCAAAGCTGAAGCTTCTCTGCATGTGTCAAGATGTACTCTATCTGCACACCCGTATGTCTCAACTCAAAAAGTTCTGTTAACTACAGGTTGATCCTCCAGGTAAACATTTTCCTTACAGCAAACATTTAATTCCATTTCACTCCAGAGGAAACAGGGTATTTCAAAGAGAAGTTGCACTCAGGATGACTAGGACCCTGACTGTATTAAATGATAGCTATTATAGATCTCAGTGCAGTTTTCTACTACTCTTGGCTTATCAACCCTTCAGGAACTTGTACCTTTTTGTTTCTTCAATTGCATTTCTTGACTTAAATTTTATGAACCAAACCATATGTTCTAGCCATACTAAATTTTTTTTAAGCACCATCCTTTTCCTATTTCCTCTAGCCAACCCCTTTTAGCTAGAACACCCTTTCAGACACCCACTACATATTAGCTGGCTAGCATCTATTGATCATTTGGGTCCAGGCTCAAACATCAATTCATATTTCCCATTTCAAAGCACTGTCCAAACTTTATTATTATTACTTATTTAATATTCTCTCTACTTTGCAAAACTGTTGACAGCTTGGGGACAGAGATTGTACTGTATCAGTTCTGTTAGGACTAGAGTGCCTCTCATAGTACCCAATACCTAGTAGGTTTGTGATACCTTTAGTTGGATGAATTATTTAACTACTATATTTAGTTCATTCCAAGGCACACATATTTTAAATTCTAACAAGTCTAAAGTCAGAGTGCTGCTTAGAATTTGTCATGTTTATAGATTAATTGGAAGATTTGTTTTGTTTTGTTCTAATTTCACCTAAAATAATGAAGAGTCTTACAAGTGAGGAGGTATTTGATCCTACAAAAAGATGGTACTTAATGACGAAAATTCTTGGAGTTTGAAGTTATCTTCTCAATGTAGTGTTTGACATTTAATAAACGATAAGTGTACTAGTGATGTCCAAATGAGTTAATTATTAGCCATCAATTAGCGTTGACCAGATCCTTTCTGACTCATTTGTATTCGCAAGAGAAGTTGCTTAACTATTTCCTTCATGCTGCATTAGCTTGCTCTTATTCCACAAATTTCTATAATCCCAAATTTTCATCAGCAGGATCTCAAACTATCTTGGTGAGAACATAATGTATTAATATCACCAGGTTGTCCACAAAGAACATCTTTCCAGCTTGAGAAAGAAACATAAGTTAGCTCTAGCCAGCCAAGAAGCACATTCTTTAGAGAACTTAACCCTAAAAATGTAAAGTGTCCTTCCATATATAATCAAAAATAGAAACACTAGTATGTAGTAAAATAATTGTAAGAAAGTAAAATAAGTCTCTAAGATGGATTTATACTTTTTTTTTAAGTCAATTATCAAATTCTAAAAAAACAACAACAACAAAAAAAACTGTGTCCCCATCAAGCTGGCTATCTTCCTACTGAGTAATCTAGCATTGGCCAAAACCCTCAGGCCACAAACACCTGTCCTTTGCATCTGAAAGGACAGAAGATGCTTCACCATGTATTTAAATCTAAAGCCCTTTATTTGCAATTATGAGTAAAAAAAACCAAAAAACAAAAAACTTAGAAACCATCTGCAAGTGACACAGAAGGTCGATCCTTTCATCTGAAGGGAAGGTGTTGTGGACTCCTTTTGAGGCACAAAACCATGTGTCCACATTGACTTCGGAGGTGTGCCAGGACACAGGTGCTCCTGACAATGCCTCGTTCTCAAATCCAGACCTCCAGGGCTCAGTGGGCAGGAAGTGCTGATCTTCCTGTTCTGAACTGTCGCTGCCAAGCAAGGGCTCCCTTCCGTTGGTCTCCAGGCCTTCCTGAACATTCAGACCCAGGTGTTGAGCCCTAACTCTGGCTCTGAGAAGAGAGTCTGAACTCAGGGGCAGTGACTCCCACTCTCTGCTCTTCTCTGCCCCTGCAATTAGGACACCTCACTGAGGAGCCTGTCTTGGGATTTTTCAGGATGATCATCAGTATGAAGAATATATCTTGGCCTTCGAGGTCCAGTTTAGCCCTGATCCATGCTGCTTTAATCCCAGTGCCCTATATCAAATGTTCATACTCCTAGAGGTTTGACAGTAGGGGCAGTAATGTGACAAGAAACAATAAAATCCTCATTTCTGACTCAGGGAGAAAGTGGAAGTCATGGGGATTAGCCCTGTTTGGAACTCCTGCTCCAAAGGATTAACATTCACATGAATTTTAGTGCTAAAATAAAATTTATGTATCCATGTAGTGGGAATTCCCACCCCTTCCCATCTCATTCAGACATAAAGCGGGTCCTAACAGCGGCCCCTACATGATCTGCAACACTGAACCCCTCACACACTACTATTGTCCTCCTTCACACCACTCTGGCCATAGTGGCTTCCTTGCTATTTTTCTGACATATTTATGTTTCTGCCTCAGAGCCTTTGTGCTACTGAATCCTCTCCCTAGTGTTCCCTCTATCCCTGGATACCTTCATGGCTCACTTCCTCTTCGTCTTCTGTTCTCTTCCCAAAAGTCACATTCTCAGTGGGCCTTTTCTTAACTACGTTGTATTAAATGTATTCCTATCTCCTTTTCCTGCTTTATTTTTTATCCCCACACTCATCACTATGTGATACCTATTATGTTACTTACTATTTACTGTCTACTTCCCTTTAGTAGAATATTAGCTTTGGGAAGGCAGAAAGTCTTGTTTCTATTATTCACTTCTCTATTCTCAGCGTTTAAAATGGTCTGGCACATAGCAGCTGTTCAAAATATAGTTTTTTGAGGGGAAAAAACATTTTTAAAATATTTGAAGATTTAGAGTTACCATGATATTCAGGTCCATAATTTTGATTGCTGAACAAGAGATTAAAGTGGGAAAATATCCTATGTCTAATTCAACAAACCCATTATTTGTGACTAAAATTCATAACTTTATTTATAGGAATTCAGTGTAACATTGGATATTAATTTTTAAAAAGCATCTAAAGCTGCAAATTTTAAAATGTTGAGCTCACCCTTCACACTTTCCTAAATTTCTCATACCATAATGATAAATTAATCCAAATTATCATTCATTCACTTGTTCACTCTTTTAATATAGGCTTGTAAAGTGCCTCTTCTCAGTTCAAACATTTTCAACAACCTCATGGTACACTAGTAAATTTGGCTCATCATAGGACACTTTATCAAACAAAACAACAAAGAGTAGAGACTTTCTCAGTTACAAAACTTCCCTATGCAAATAAGACAAAATACAGTTTGCTTACCTTAGCAGTACCTATTTTTCTTCATTCATAATATCAGATACGTACTTCTAAGTGTATCTAAGACATAGGAGTCTTCTAACTTTTTAAAATAGGCCTTCTAGGGCACCTGGGTTGCTCAGTTGGTTAAGTGTCTGTCTTCGGCTCAGGTCATATCTCAGGGGGGTCCTGGGATGGAGCCCCAGGGATCAGCAGGGAGTCTGCTACTCTCTGTCCCTCTGCTGGTCTCTCGTGCCTTCTCTCTCTATCTCACACTCTCTCTCTCAAGTAAATAAAATCTTTAAAAAAATTAAAAAAGAATAAAAATAAATAAATAGGCCTTCTACTAAAGGGAAGAACATAAGTATGCTTCTCAGATTGAGGAACAGTGGGCATTTCACACCAACTTAGAGATGTATAAAACCTGTGCCCACACTGATGGTTTTGGTTATGTTTCTTTTCTAATTTGAATTTTGTTATTCTGGATTTTAAGTTTCACTAGCAAAAGATCTTCATATGTTTTCAACTAATATCAGATCCAGTTATGAACATAATTTTCATGGCCCAAGTGAACTTAGGTTGGAGTATATCTCAGGGAAAATTAAAGTAAGAGGAAGAAATGAAAACGTCCCCCCCCCGCAAAAAACCTCCTTTCTTAACACAATGGTTAGTTTCAGGGAGGTTCCCTGGAGATTCCCTCTCCCTCTACCCCTACCCCTGTATGTGCTCTCTCCCCCTCTCTCTCAAATAAATAAATAAATAAATATTTTTAAAAAATGAAAAATAAAAATAAATTTAATCAAACTTGTTTAGCCATCCTTGGCTGGATGCCAGGTAGTCCTGTGACTCCTTAAAAAAGAAGGCAGGAGTAGGGTAGGAGTAGATTTTATTACACTAGATAAATCTCAGACAAGCATATCTATATAGAAGATATATTTGTTTCACCAATTTACAAAACTCCTTAAAATGTTAAGCAGCATACAATTTCATTGAGACTTTTATTCAGGAGTAATAGATTTAAGGGTGCTTAACCAAATCAGTTCTTGAAGCTTGCTTTGCCATTTGCACATGGAATTCATTCATAGTAAGGTGATTGTACAGTAATTACATAAAATGTAAAACCTTCCATTTAGATAGATAGATATATGGAATTTTAATTACTACCAGCTAGATTGAGATGCTGCTCTAGTTCAGGGAGTTGAGAAATCAGCGGGATGCTATTTACGTTCTCCAGAACGTAATACAATTGTGTTTTTCTATTATCTATTGCTCTTGGAAGGCAATTAGTTCCAGGAGCTATGCAGTTTAAGGAAAAAAAAATTAAAATGCCCCCACCTATTCCTAATTAAGATTAAGAGAATTCTTTGTCATGTTGAGCATATTTAGGCATAAAATTACAATCATTTTGACATTAAATTCTCATTACCATATTTCCCCAGAGTGATTTTTTTAACAGGTATTTGTTGAAATGCTGACTGATACCACTCTTCCTCTAAATGCCATTCTTTTGCCTACTTTTTCTTATTGCCTCTGCTTTCATTTCTCCCAACACCAACACGCAACCTCTTCTCTGTGATGAACTTTGAAATTCATGCAAGAAGGAAGTGAAAACAAAAAGAAGCACAACATTATTTCCCCACCGGTTTACGGAAGATGAAAAACTGAGACCAAAAAAAAAAAAAACCGTTGGTAAAATCATTCTCAGGCTACCCGGGCTGCTGAAAGCCCGGCTTCGCAGTCAGGAGACCGCCCGGGGGGCGGGACATGGGGAGGCATCTGGGCAGCTCCCCGCAGCTGCTCTGCTCCAGGCGCCCCCGCAGCCGGAATGTGTGAAAGGCACCCAGTGGGATGCACCCCCCAGCCTCCGACCTGCAGTTCAGGTGCGCAGGGGAGCCTCTAACTGCCGCAGAAGGTCTCTGGAGCGGCTGAGGCCAGCTCACTATGTCCTAAGAACTTGCTCCTTTCTGCTGGACACAATGGCTCCTGAACTTTTCTGCCCTTGGCTCTCCAGAAAAGCTGACATGCACAACCCCGGACCACGGAGCCTAAAAGGAGGCATGCTAGCTCCATTGTCTCTTTTAAAAGTCCCTTCTGAAGGAAGTCAGTCCACAAGACCATTGTAGCTCCCTCTAGGACAGCACTGCAAGGTCAGCCCCGCAAAGGAGTCCCGCTCTGGAGACAAGAGAAAAAGATAAGAATATTTGACTTCCAACCTCCCGGCGCTTTTCATTAAAAGATAAATCTACCTCAATCTATTTTGAGCTTGGGTTTTTATAACACAATAATAAAAGGGTCAGTGTGAAAAAAGACTTTATTTGATCTACCACAGTTTTTCCTATTGCTCGTTCTCAGCCTATAAATGCATTTAGCAAGTCTAAAGGCAATTGGAAGTGTGTAGCATGTGGTAGCTTTGCAGCCAGGTGAAATATTGCTCAGTCAAGTTAGAAAATTCAAGATCAGACTCTCCCAGAGAGTGGCTTTGGTCACTTCTGAGAAGACAGCTAAAGTCAACTTACTCTCCATCTGAGTCTCTTCATGTGAAGTGACAACGTGATCAAGAGCAGCATTGTGTGCAAACACAATAAGCAGCAGAATGTCACCTACCATTTCACAGCTATACTTCAGTGTACCTAAGAAGCTGAGAGATCCTGAGTAGGTGATTCAGTAAGGAGAATCAGCCTTCCGGAGGCAGAGTGTCTCTGAGCACACTGTTCAATGATGCTCTAGGGATAGATGAGTTTTGGAAGGAGATCTTTCTGCTGCATTGAGTCAGGTCAGAAAGGATATAATCACATGGGAAGGGTGTGATTCTGATGGGATAATCAATGGGCCACATAGATAAAAGAATGTTATGAAAAACTATATGCCAACAAATTGGACAATCTGGAAGAAATGGATATATTCTTACAAACATATAAACTACCAAAACTGAAACAAGGGAAAATAGAAAACTTGAACAGACTGATAACCAACAAAGAAATTGAATCAGTAATCAAAAATCTCCAAACAAAGTCCAGGGTGGGATGGCTTCGCAGGCGAATTCTACCAAACATTTAAAGAGGAGTTAATACCTATTCTTCTCAAATTATTCCAAAAAATAGAAAAGGAAGGAAAACGTCATATTCATTCTATGAGGCCAGCATTACCCTGATACCAAAACCGGATGACTCCACTAAAAAAAAGAACTATAGGCCAATATCCCTAATGAATATGGATGCAAAAATTCTCAATAAAATACTAGCAAACTGAATCCAGCAATACATTAAAAGAATCATTCACCACAATCAAGTGGGGTTTATTCCTGGGTTACAAGTGTGGTTCAGTATTTGCAAATCAATCAACGTGATACACCACATTAACAAAAGAATAGAACTATATGATCATTTCAATAGATGCAGAAAAATCATTTCAAAAAGTACAACATCCACTTATGATAAAAACCGTCAGCAAAGTAGGTTTAGAGGGAACATACCTCAATATAATAAAGGCTATATTAGGAAAACCCACAGCTAATATCATCTTCAATGGGGAAAAACAGAGCTTTTCCTCTGTGGTCAGGAAGAAGACAGCAATGTCCGCTCTCACCACTGCTATTCAACATAGTACTGGAAGTCCTAGCCATAGCAATCAAACACCATAAGGAAATAGAAAACATCCAAATCAGCAAAGAAGAACTCCAACTTTCACTATTTGCAGATGACATGATAACTCTATATAGAAAGCCCTAGGGCGCCTGGGTGGCTCAGTTGGTTAAGCAACTGCCTTCGGCTCAGGTCATGATCCTGGAGTCCCGGGATCGAGTCCCACATCAAGCTCCTTGCTCGGCGAGGAGTCTGCTTCTCCCTCTGCCCTTCCCCCCTCTCATGCTCTCTCTCTCTAATAAATAAATAAATAAATAAATCTTAGAAAACCCTAAAGACTTCACAAAAAAACTGCCAGAACTGATAAATGAGTTCAGTAAAGTTACAGGATACTAAATCAATGTACAGAAATCTGTTGCATTTCTATATGCCAATAATAAGCAGCAGAAAGAGAAATTAAGGAATCAATTTCATTTATAATTGCACCAGAAATAATAAGATACCCATGAATAAACCTAACCACAGAGGTGAAAGAGTTGTACTCTGAACTATAAAATACTGAAAAAAGAAATTGAGGATGACACAAAGAAATGGAAAGACATTTTATGCCTATGCATTAGAAGAACAAATATTGGTGAAAATATCTATACTACCTAAAGCAATCTACTCATTTGAAGCAATCCATAGCAAAATACCACCAGCATTTTTCACAGAGCTAGAACAAACAATCCTAAAATTTGTATGGAACCAAAAAGACCTCAATTAGCCAAAGCAAACTTGAAAAAGAAAAACAAAGCTGGACACATCACAATTCCAGACTTCAAGTTATATTACAAAGCTGTAAGGATCGAGACAGTATGGTACTGGCACAAAAATGGATGCATAGATCAATAGAACAGAATAGAAAACCCAGAAATGGACCCACAACTATAAGGTCAACTAATCTTTGACAAAGCAGGAAAGAATATTCAATGGGAAAAAGACAGTCTCTTCAACAAATGGTGTTGGGAAAATTGGACAGCAACATGGAACAGATGAAACTAGACCACTTTCTTTTCTTTTTTTTTTTTTTTAAAGATTTTATTTATTTATTTGACAGAGAGAGACATAGCGAGAGAGGGAACACAAGCAGGGGGAGAAGGAGGGGAGAAGCAGGCTTCCCCGTGGAGCAGGGAGCCCGATGTGGGGCTCAATCCCAGGACCCTGGGATCACGACCTGAGCCGAAGGCAGATGCTTAACGACCTGAGCCACCCAGGCGCCCCAGAAACTAGACCACTTTCTTAAAACATACACAAAAATAAATTCAAAATGGATTTCAGACCTAAATGTGAGACCTGAAACTATAATAATCCTATACATGAACACGGCCAGTAACCTTTTTGACATTGGCTGTAGCAACTTCTTTCTAGATATGTCTCCTAAGGCAAAAATAAACTATTGGGACTTCACCAAAATAAAAAGCTTCTGTTCAGTGAAGGGAACAATCAATAAAACTAAAAGGCAACCTGCAGAATGGGAGAGGACATTTGCAAATGACATATTGGATAAAGGGTTAGTATCCAACATATATAAAGAACTTATAGGGGCAGGGGCAGGCACAGGAAGCAAGATGCTCCCTTCAGGACCACTTTCATCTTTTTTTTTTCTTTATTTCTCCTTCCACCGCACATACAAAGACACCTAACCCAGCAGGATTTTTCTCTCGTCTGGAGGGTATGTTATCCTCCTCTTCCGTAATTTGATATATCTCCTTCAAAGGTACAGTTTCTAACATGCTTTTTTCCCCAAACACTAACAATACTAAACTTAAGTTTGGGGGTACACAAAAGCCAGAGACTGGCAATTTCTCTCTCTCTCAAATCACATCCTATGATGAACACACTGCTTTGTATGGGCCATGAAGGTGGAAATAATAGCAAGGAAAATATTCTGCCAATAATACTGTACTCTTCCCAGCTGTATTTTAACTTCTTGTGCTTTACTTTCTCGTTAATAAAACAAGGGTAGTTGTACCTATCTGTCACAGTTATTATAAAGATTAAAGAAGAAAAATGAATAAACAGCACTTACTATTATCATTGTTACTCTTTCTAATGGTCTAATGGTCACCTTTAACATCTAGTTAACGGATGGCTGTTTGTCACAAAAAGAATCAGGCACAGAATATGAATGTTGATGAAGAAACAACAGTTGATGGGTGGAGTCACCGCAAGGATCATCATCATAACGCATCTCCTGCGGTATTAGTGAATGGTGCTCCCTTTGGGGTGGCAGAGGCCCAGGTGGTTCTGGGCAACTAGATGTCATAAAGCAATCCTGGAGCACTTGTCAGATGTCTTGATTAATTGCCGTTTTTGAAGCAGAAGTAAGAGCATCACAAAACCGTGAACAAACACCAGACTTCCAAATAAGCTCGCATCCAGCACAGCTCCATGCCAGCCAAGGTACTCAGCTGTGAACTGGCAGTACTTAACTTGCCTTCTAAAGTCATCGAAGAGCTTAGCGGACCAGCAAATGATAACAATAAACAGCTACCCATGCATGAAACAAGAAATCAGAATTTTCTACTTATACGCATGCTTAAGCTAGGAGAGATGCCAGTCAGTGAGCTTAAGAAAAGGTGGGGGAGGCAGTGTTGTTGAAGCAACTTCAAGATGGCATTTAGAATCCCCACCAAGACCTAAGGAAATATGCCCAGTGCTTTACATAGTGGAGAGAAGCTATGGCTCTTAGAGACTCTGGGGAATGAGCTTCCTGCAATAAGCAGGGCAATTAACCTAAAGCAGATTCTGGCTGCTAAGTGGGGTAGAAATGCCTTTGTTTGGTCAGGCAGAGACTTCCCTGGTGTGCTCCTACTGGGATATTTCACACAAATTTGAGTTGCGTCGTTTAATAGCTCCCCTTGGCAGAAAGGATTCTAAAGGCCTTCCTGATGTTCTGAGTGCAGAGCTAGGTTGAGAGAACCTAGAGGATTTGTAAGGAGTGGCTTTGGAAGAGAGGCACCTGTCTCACCTGGGGAGAGTAGGGTGTGGCTCTTAGCTTCTCTGGACACTGCGTGTAGCTCATGGTGCAATTATTTACTGAAAGCGAAAAATGAAATCATGTGCCTTAGCCCTTGATTAAAGAGAAGATAATGTTTTGTTAGAAAAGTCAGCTGCAGAGATTCGGTCTGAACGTGGCTGTGCCTGCTGCTGAATAGTTTCAGCTTGGCGAATCCCAGAGGTCGTTCCTGAATGCTAACTAAGGATTCCAAGCAGAGCAAATTCCTTCCTGATGAAGACTTGCAGCTGACAACGTGGAACAATTTGAATCACAGACCTGTAAAATTTGTTCAGAATGGAATTAAATGACTCTCCTGCAGTGATTTGGCAAGTCTGTTTTCACCAAGGCATTGCAGTGAGAGTGGGTAGCCAACGAAGGGCCATTTTCATCCGGCATCTCACTCGGTGTCTTGCTGCCAAAAGGGATTCTGAGGGTCAAACCATGGAGAATATGCTTGCTTGCCTTAGTCAAACTTAAAAATAAGGTCTGCCACTCGCACCTTCTCTCTACTGCTAGATATGGCTCCATCATTTACAAGTATCTACACCTTTTTAGGATCCATTTATGCTAAGACCACCTCTTAGGGGAGATGATACTTTTACATTTATTGCCGTTTGTGTGAAATATAATTTCTCCTTATTTCTCTTACACTTTATATCTCATGCAGTTTAAAGAATACAAAGTACATGGAGACAAAATTGGAAGCTAGTATAAAAACATCAGCCCCAACCTTGAACTGCAATGACCCTAACATAGAAATTTTTTTTTAATGGCCTTGACAAAATATGCACTTCTGTTCTCATAGCTTACGAGACAAGCAATAATATCAGCTTGGCCTTCTGAGATAAGGTGGAGGTGAGGGGATGGAGCCAGACAGGAAACAGAGACTCCACAAGTTCCAGTCTAGTAGCTGTGAATTTTACCATAGAAAAGAAGTAATTTGTATGATGGTGATAAAAGACTTTCTTTTGTGTTTGCAAGAATATGTTAGAAATCAATAGTAGAACATTTTACCACAAAAAGGTGGAACAGCTGAAAAGTTTTTTTCTAATGTTATGGCCTGTCCCTTAGGCAAAAGACATGATGAGGGAAGTTTCTGAGAATTATATACAGGGCACAGCTAATCAGAGTTTAGGGAATGTGTATGGTAGTAAGGTGAGGGATTAGGATGGCAGTTGTTTGCAAAGGAAAGGAAGATGGGGGGAAGAAAAAGGAGTATCCAAGAGGGATAGTATAACAAAAAATTACAGAGTTTCAGAGAAATTGGGTGAATAGAAGATGTAACAGGGCTGTAACATGAAAGTGATCCAAGAAAATTCAACATAAAAATTACCTGTCAGGGGCACCTGGGTGGTCCAGTCAGTTAAGCCCCCCTTAAGCCTCCGATTCATGGTTTTCTGCTCAGGTCATGATCTCATGGGTCATGAGATCAAGCCCCACCTCAGGCTCCATGCTCAGCAGGGAGTCTGAAGATTCTCTCCTGCTGCCCCTCCCTTCACACACGCATGCTGTCTCTCTCTCTCTCTCTCTCTCAAATAAATAAATAAATCTTTTAAAAAATTACCAGTCAGAATGGCTAAAATTAACAACACAGGAAACAACAGATATTGGCGAGGAGGTGGGGAAAAGGGAACACTCTTACACCGTTGGTGGGAATGAAAACTGGTGTAGCCACTATGGAAAATAGGGTGGAGGTTCCTCAGAAAGTTAAAAATAGAGCTACCCTACAACCCAGCAATTGCACTACTAGGTATTTACCCATAGCATACAAAAATACAGATTCGAAAGGGCACATACACCCTGCTATTTATAGCAGCATTATCAAAAATAGCCAAATTATGGAAAGAGCCCAAATGTCCATCAATTGATGAATGGATAAAGAAGATGTGGTATAGATATAAAATACAATATTACTCAGCCACCAAAAGAATGAAATCTTGCCATTTGCAATGACATGGATGGAGCTAGTGTGTATTACGCTAAGCAAAATAAGTTAGTCAGAGAAAGACAAATACCATATTATTTCACTCATATGTGGAATTTAAGAAACAAAACAGATGAACATAGGAGAAGGGGAAAAAAAAAAGAGAGGGAAGCAAACCATAAGAGACTCTTAACCATAGAGAACAAACGAAGGGTTGCTGGAGGGGAGGGGGACGTGGGATGAGCTAAATGGGTGATGGGTATGAAGGAGGGCACTTGTGTTGAGCACTGAGTGTTACATGTAAGTGATGAATCACTAAATTCTACGCCTGAAATCAATATTACACTATATGTTAACTAACTAGAATTTAAATAAAAATTTGAAAAAAAATACTGCTTTTTTTACAACAACTGTATTTTTTTGATTAATTTCAAAATTGGCAAAGTGCTTTTTAACAAAGGAAATATTATTGCAAGAGCCAGGAGCCAAATGCTTGGCTTCTCATAGCAATGAACAGGTTGTCACTTCAAGTAACTCCTCTGGTAGGATTACTTCCATATGTTCCCTGAGGCACACAGAGTGACAATGTGGGTGAAGGTAGATGCCAAAGGGTGATAATGCCCAAAGATTTGATAGAGTAGTCCCCCTTTATTTGTGGGGTTTACATTCCAAGCCCCCCAGTGGATGCCTGATAGTACTGAACCTTATTTATACTGGGTTTCTTTTCTACATATACACAGCTATGATAAAGTTTAATTTATAAATTAGGCACAGTAAGAGATTAACAGCAATTACTAGTAATAAAACAATTATAACAACATACTGTAATAAAAGTTATATGAATGTGTTCTCTCACACAAAATATTGTACTGTACTCACCCTACTTCTTGTGATGATGTGAGACTATATGAGGTGAGGTGAGGTGAATGACGTAGTTTCTGTGACATAGTGTGAGGCAACTGTTGACCTTCTGATGATCTGCTTTCCCACTGTGGTTGACCCGGGGTCAGAGAGACTGCAGAAAGAGAAACCACAGATAAGGGCGGAGTGCTATAGTTCCTTACAAATGCATCTGAGGATGGACACGCTCAATGGTTCAAACATTCTCTAAATGCAAAGATAATTCTTTTAAAGCTGAGCTTTGCTCCCCTAAAATACTGCAAAAATTCCCAGGGTGGAAGGAAATTCGCTTTTTTTTTTTTTTTATTTGGGCACTTTTT